TATTGCGAAATAATTTGATTCAGATCGGGACTTCGGAGCGGGTTCGCAAATCATTTGATTCAGATAAGAAATAAGCGGATTCGTGAATCTTTTTATTCAGGTCGGGACTTCGGAGCAGTTTCACGAACCATTTGATTCAGATCGGGACTTCGGAGCGGGTTCGCAAATAATTTGATTTAGATTGGAACTTGGGAGCAGGTTCACAAATAACTTGATTTAGATCGGGACTTCGGAGCGGGTTCGCAAATAATTTGATTTAGATTGGAACTTGGGAGCAGGTTCACAAATAACTTGATTTAGATCGGGACTTCGGAGCGGGTTCGCAAATAATTTGATTTAGATTGGAACTTGGGAGCAGGTTCACAAATAACTTGATTTAGATCGGGACTTCGGAGCGGGTTCGCAAATAATTTGATTTAGATTGGAACTTGGGAGCAGGTTCACAAATAACTTGATTTAGATCGGGACTTCGGAGCGGGTTCTTGATTTAGATGATTTAGATTGGAACTTCGGAGCAGGTTCACAAATAACTTGATTTAGATCGGGACTTCGGGCAAATAATTCAAATAATTTGATTTAGATTGGAACTTCGGAGCAGGTTCGCAAATAATTTGATTTAGATTGGAACTTCGGAGCGGGTTTGCGAATCATTTGATTCAGATTTGAACTTCTGTGCGGGTTAGTGAATCATTGTTTCCCAAAAGCATGTTAGCTAATACGGTCGTTAATTCCATTAAACTCTATTGGTAACGACGAAACTTGCGACCATATTTGCTTTTGGAAAAATGCACCCCTGATCGGGACTTCAAAGCAGGTTTGCGAATCATTTGATTCAGATCGGAACTTCGGAGCGGGTTCGTGAATCATTATTTGGAGTGGGCTTTCTTTCTTTCATTCTCTTTTTCTTTTTTTTTATTAAACAGCGCAAAACATCAAACCATTAAGTAAGTACAGGTATAAAAACAAAACAGAAAAGAAAGAAAGAAAGCATATACATATACAAATCCATATAGTAAAAGTTTTTAGCGTATTGCTTACCATTTGTATAACCACAGTTTTACTACAAATACCATGTTTTTTTGTACAATAATAATAATAATATAAAAGAAAGAAATGTAGGCCTACACCTTAAGAGGACACATAGGATGAATATAGAGATACAGTTTTGACTGCTTTAAGCGTTGGATAGTTTTCATATAGGCCTACGTGTCTAGATCAACTTTGAATACAGAGAAGAGAGGTTTAGAGGCAGATTTTTGTTTATGTATGTGAAATGCAGCTAGCAGGAAATACAGATTATCCTTAATTATGTTATATTTTCCTATATTGTCTTTTGAGTAGTCAAACAATCCGAAGAAAATATCTTTAAATCTGCTGCTGTAATGTTATTGGTTTTACATAATCAATATTGTGTAATTAGTCTGATTAATATGCTAACATAAAAAGCTCTCTTTATGAGTTATGAGTATGTTAGCTATCAAAGACTTTAGATGACATGAAACTGTGGTCAAAAGTCTGTCATAAATGCGAAAATGTAGGCTAGTTGGATGGGGAGGGGGTGTTGTTTGCTGTTATGTCCCCACCAATGTCAAAATCACACCTTCGCCCCAGCTAAATTAAGGAATTTGTGTCTAATGGACTGTTGTGTTTGGTCTGTGAGCCAGGGGCGTGTCTAGAACATTTTAAATGGGGGGGGGCAGTCTGGGTCACCACCTCAAAAGGAGGTAGTACATAACATACACGATGTTAAGTAAGGGATAATGTATTTATAAAGAGAAGAGAGCCGCTTATTACACGGCTAAAAAGATTTGTTTTTACCATGTTGAAATTAATGCTGAAGTCTTCCATTATAACACGCAGTGGTTAAGTGTTTTCAGTCACAAGATGGCGCCAGACAGTCAACGATAGCGGAGTGACTCGTTAAGCATATAAGTAGTACCGGTCAAGATAACTTTTAGTACCCGGATGAGCCGTGTGTTATTCAATTTGGCGGTTGTTATCTGGGAATAACATACCGCTGGATGGCGCGATTGACCAATCAGAATCAAGTATTCCACAGAGCCGTGTAATAATATATTAATTGCGCAGTGTGAGATTCATTGGTAACACAACTTTGTGAGATCGCGATGAACAAAGAGTGACAGCTTTTTAGTGGTTATGAGCGCTCTTTGCAAGCTTTCTAGGCAATCAATTTAAAATGTAGAACGTTTTTTGGCCACACACACTTTGCAAAGTTTCGTGAATGACATCTGCAGGGACATTTATGCGGGATTCGCTCTGGAAGTAGCAGTGTTTGACATGGTGATAACCATAGCAATAGACGGGACAAAATATGTGAAAAATGTGCATTAAGACTAGAGCACCTTCACTAATTTCAGAAGCACCCTCAGTGATTATTTCTGGAACCTCGTTGATACACTTTTGTTGTATAACTATATACAAAAACAACAAAATACAAATGCACTAAATAAAATAATTTAATAAATGCATATTTACAATTTAAGCACTTAACTAAAATAAGTATTACCGGTAATAAAATAAATAACTAGAAAAGGCTGACTATATTCAGCTTGCTTCCATTTAGTGAGAAAAGCCTACTCTTCACCTGAATTAGAAAAAAAGCTCCTCTGGTCTTCAGTGATGCGAGGACAACGTTTGAGCGTACTTGTAATATCTGTGTGAGAGCAGAGCCAGTTCATAAAAGAATAATGCATATTTAAAAGCACACGTCCAGTTTTGTGTGAGTTAAGGAAATCTGCTTGCGAGTGGAGGAGATTCGTGCTTGCATATTAGGCCTACATGGATCACGTCACATTATGCGCTCGCGACATTGTCGTGGCTTAGGGTTAGAGAGTCGGACTCGTAACCCAAATGTTGCGGGTTCGAGTCTCGTACCGGCAGGGATTGTAGGTGGGGGCAGTGAATGTACAGCGCTCTCTCCCACCTTCAATACCACGACTGAGGTGCCCTTGAGCAAGGCACCGAACCAACTGCTCCCCGGGCGCCGCAGCAAAAATGGCTGCCCACTGCTCCGGGTGTGTGTTCACGGTGTGTGTGTTCACTGCTGTGTGTGTGCACTTTGGATGGGATAAATGCAGCGCACTAATTCCGAGTATGGGTCACCATGCTTGGCAATATGTCATGTCACACTCACACTTAAGATCGCGCTATAGAAGCCGCCTAAAATTAAGTATAAAGAGGAGAACACATGCCAGGATGCGCCACTGCCAGATGCAGTTAGAAATGTACTAAAAACCAGCCTATCACAAGACATCTGGTAGGGGGGGCACCTGGGGTGGCCAGACAAATTTCGGGGGGGCGGTGCCACCACGTAGACACGCCCCTGCTGTGAGCTCAATACATAATCAGATATTATCCAACAGCTTTAATTTGATGATAATACATTTGTTTCATCATTGCGTTTTGAACTATCGACTGAAAGCCAGTTTATTGTCCTCTAGCGACACCTACTGTTATGTTAACGTAAACTGCAATATTTACATCCAGTTTAACCATAAACTGTATACAGGTTATCTAAGTAATCTTGCTTTTTTGTTGGACTTCAGTTAGATATTACGTCTACATCCCACAGCTTTATTCACGATCGTACAATTATATTATATACGTTTGAAGGTCTATCTTTTGATATTTAACTTTAAACTTTTTAGAACTTCTCTTTTTTTTTAAGTTTATTAAATCTTTTTAAAGACCAACTTGTTAGTACAGACTGTGAATAAAGCTTTTGACCGAATTCTGTTCAAAAGTGAAAGTTGGTGTTGCCAAAATAACCTTGTTAAAACACACCCTGCTTCTCTAAAACTCTGCAACAGTGTCTGAAAATAGTCTTTGGGGTTCATAAACTGAGCAAAAGATAGGTCTGCCCTGCCCTGTGGTAATAACTTTTGCTTACGCATTACCCGGAAATGTTACTTTACGAATCAGAAAAGGTTTACCTTATGAATATTAATTACGTCCAGATGACGTTGAAACCCCCTCAGGTATAGAAGGGACGTCAAATCACTTCCCTAATTAATATTTATTATTTATTTTTAATCAAACCTTAAGTAAACCGTTTTTATGTTATTATTGATATTATTATTATTATTATTATGTTATTAAATAATATGACAAAAGTGTACAAATACTGGATAAACACGTATTCAGTTAATGAACTTTGATTTGTATATGTAAATGAAGCATACATAAAAACACATTATAAAATAACGTTTCGTAGTAGAAAAAAAATCCAACGGCGCAAAGAACACTAGAAAAACTTCGCCTTTCGCGTTTGCCGTTTAGCCAATCAAATCGTCGAACGTCACTGTATGTAATTAATATTCATGAGCCTTGCCTTCTTCCCGGTAGGATTCAATGCTTGGACGGACGAGCCGCCGCAGGTGAGTCAAAATCGCCGAGGGATAAACAAGGACGTACAGCTGGTTTGAAAGAATCCTAAACTGGCTTACAAGGTAATTGTTCATTTGATTAACTCAAATCACAGAGATGTCCTGTCAGTCGATTAATTACTAAACCAGAAAAATGTACTTTAGTGAGCGTTGAAGGAGAAGGAAACAAGTGAACTTGTGTTGATGTGATGTGCTAAAGTTGTATAAAGTTGTTACAGTGAATACATGGTTTCTGCATGTTTAGATAGATAGATTAAACTTGTTATTACACTGTCTTAAACTGTTTTCACAAACCGGAATCTTGAAAAATAACAATAAAAATAACGTACATGTATGTATATTTAAGTTGCCGTCAAATAAGAGTCACGTTTTCTGAATTTTGGGTTTTTAATATGTTTATTCCAGGTTATAGATAATGAGCGCATGCCAATACATGTCTAAATCGTGTTACGACATGCTTTGCCATGTTTTTTTCACATACCATGGTAAACTATGTGAAGATGATAATCTGTACTCATTTACTGTGCCATAGTATATAATCAATCATCTGAAACAATCACTACCATAGTACCAGTTTTGTATGTAGATTTGGAGTACCATACTGTAAATACCACTGCACATGGAATTCAGTAGCACTACTACAGCAGTTTTATAAAGACAGGGTGCCTTTTCTGTCTTTTTCCGATTTTCTCACTGCAAAGCTGTCATATTACATGCCACTAGTATAATTGTCTTTCTGTTTAGTGTCGTTTTGTGGTTTGTGCTTTTCTTGCTAAGTTTAAGCATTGTTTTTCTGTTAAAAGCGCCGTCTCATTTGCAGACGCGTGAAAGCCACACTGAGACTGTTTCCTGAGATAAAGCCCCTTGGGATGTTGCAGAAATTTGTTGGTGGTGACATCATGTGTGTGTGTGTGTGTGTGTGTGTGTGTGTGTGTAGTGTTGGGTAACTCAACTTTTCACATAGCTGAAACTGATGACTGATCACCTTGTGAGTGCAGGGGAAAATTCTGCATTATAAAATGATGTAGATTTCTTACCCAAAACTCTCAGAAAAAAGGTGCAAAAGCTGTCTCTGGGGCGTTACCTTTTCAAATAGGTGCACCTTTGTACCTAAGGGGTCCATAGTGGTACCTTTAAAAGTACATATTAGTACCTAAAGTTGACATATTTATACCTAAATGTACTTATGTATCTTTTTTGAAAAGCTACTCCCCAGTGACAGCAGCTTATGTAACTTTTTTATGAGAGTGAACTTACTGTACTAAAGTAAGTTAACTTTAGTTAACCCTGGGACTTTAATCTTTGCTTATGTTTATTGCTGTATTTATTAACAGTGGCTGTTATCAACCATTGCATCATAGACTGTTCTCTTTAAGTTTGTGTCATGATTTTATGAATTAACAGCATATATCTGTGTGGTACGTGCTCCGTCCCATGTGGATTTGAAAATGGAACACCTCTTATAGTCATGAATGGATGAATCTCACAAAACCTGTCAAGAACATGTCCGGGTCACATTTCTCCCAAAGTTAGTTTTTGATGAGGGTTTCTGACTGAAATATGTATCTAATTAAGTTTCTTAATGTGTATGTGACTGTGTGCAGGGCTTCCTCCAACTTTATGACCCCAAAATAATATATGTGACCCTGGACCACAAAACCAGTCATAAGGGTCAATTTTTCGAAATTGTGATTTATACATCATCTGAAAGCTGAATAAATAAGCTTTCCATTGATGTATGGTTTGTTAGGATAGGACATTTGGCTGAGATACAGCTATTTGAAAATCTGGAATCTGAGGGTGCAAAAAAATTAAAATATTGAGAAAATCGCCTTTAAAGTTGTCCAAATTAAGTACTTAGCAATGCATATTACTAATCAAAAATTAAGTTTTGAGATATTTACGGTAGGAAATTTACAAAATATCTTCATGGAACATGATCTTTACTTAATATCCTAATGATTTTTGGCATAAAAGAAAAATCGATAATTTTGACCCATACAATGTATTGTTGGCTATTGCTACAAATATACCCCAGCGACTTAAGACTGGTTTTGTGCTCCAGGGTCACATTAAATACATTTTACCCCATGTTGTAATTATCAAAATGCGTACATGTGTAAAAATTCAGCAAGCTATTAATGCAGTAAACCATAATAGTTATTGTTGTTTATTCTTTATACTGATCTGATATTCCTAAAATCTTAATTTTCTTAACATAATAATAAAAAATAATTTATTGAAATAATAAATTAGGTTAGATTTGGGGCTGAAATTGAGTTTCCTGCTGCCTTAGAGATCTCATATCCGACACTGCAGCTGTTTAGTTTATTTTACAGCATATGAAGCTACATCATAAGATCAGCAGTTCACTATGCATGTGCTTATAATAAGGGCAGAGATTTGCACCTTCCATGCAGAATCAATAAACTTTATAAATTTTATAAGTAGTGATGGCGATAGTTAGGCCTGTCACGATAACAACTTTTTGTTGTGTGATATTTTGCCCCAGAAATAATTGCAATAAGCGATATTATTGTCATTTTAAAGACCATTTTATGCCACTGAATATATAATCATAATGTAACAGCATAATAATGCAAGAAGGCCTACACACTTCCAAATGACAACAAACTTTTAATTTTTTAGAATATTTAGATCATGGAAATTAAGTATCAAAATATTAGATACCTTAGAGCAGTGTTTCCCAACCTTTTTTCAGTCGCGGCACCCTTTGGAAATTTTAACAACATTGTGGCACCCTACAAAATTAATTTTGTCACAATATTAAAATTTCTAACTTTGATATGATAATTTGAAAAGTATAGATATTCGGTACAACAGGGAAGAACTGCAGAATATAATGTCATACAGATATTTTTAATATTATTTAAAAAAATTGTCCATCAATGGTGGCAACAGTAGGCTAATTTCTAATGAAGAGACCAATTTATATGACAGATTTTAATGTAGGCTTTTATACACATGTAAACATTATTTAATTACCATTATAACTAGCTATCTCACAAATTTTTGCTCACTCAGTGTTTTTTTAATTTTACAGTGGGGTAATTTTGGTGCAGTAGCATGAGATAGCTTGATTTCAAACTTTGAATTGCATGAACGGTATATGAGTGGAGCACTCACATGGGCCGTGAGCGACTGAGCGGAGCACACACACGCATAGAGCGGATAATACGCAGAGCGTCACACCACGTGAAAGTGAAACCTGAGCGGTGAACTAATTTTCGGCAGCCGAAATTTCGGTGCATCTCTAACTATTGGCGACATCAGAAATGGATATTATATAATAGATGTTTTTTTGAACATTTTAGTCATTTAAAAATATTAAAAAAGGATTTTTTACACAGCACCCCTGCTCTCGACAGACGGCACCCCGGTTGGGAAACACTGCCTTAGAGAACTTGAATAAATAGTAAATAAACATTTTCTAACAAAACGTGCAAGTAACAAGTAGAAAAAAATAGAGTTTTCCATCTACAGACTTTCCCTGACCTTCTTTTCTCTGTAAATTGAGGGTGCACACTATTGCTGAGAAACACAATCACTACTTAGCAGTCAGATGTCCGTATGCACAAAGGCACAGATCCCTAAACAAGACCATATCTGCAGATTAAACTGTAGAATCATCTTTTCATTATGTACGAGAAGCTGCAAAAGACACAGGCACAAATGCAATGTACAAAACATGGTGACATTCATTTTTAAGTAAATATAATGGGCTATATATTGCATCACCAAAAATTATTGAGGTCATGTACATATATTGTGCGATAAGTCGATATATTGATTATTGCGACAGGCCTAGCGATAGTTTAAGGGTGGATCCTACAAAAACCTGGCAAGATCACATTTCATGCACAAAAAAGGGAAGAAAAAAATCCATAAAGTAAAAAAAAGCTTTTATTTCTTTTGTATTATGAGATTATTTTTATGTCATAATTTACCCCCATGAAATCTAGCTAATTATTGTAATGCATCTGGACATTTCACTTTTGAGTTTTGTGATTCTCATTATTTTGATTGGTGAATGCAGTTCATTTTTACTATATTGAATTATTTTCACTTTAAAAAAAATGTAAATAAGTAAATAAATGTGTATTTTTATATTAAAGACAATTCTTCATAATGTTAATGTAGTTTTTAAATATTACTTAAATATTGTATTATTATTATTAATATTTATTATGATTATATTTTTTGGAGAGTGAAATATGGCTTGGAAATATTCTTGACAGGTTTTTGTGAGATCCACCCACTCGATTTATGAGAGGTGTTAATATGTGTCATGATTGGCATGCTGTACCTGAAAAGATGTGTGTGTGTATGTGTCTCACATCTGTTCCTCATATCACAGGCCTTTATGTTCAAACAACAGCAAAACCGACATGCTGTCAACTGACTCATTTAAACTCTGTCAGTCAGTATCCCTACCATTTGTTAAGTGTTAACATGAACAAGACATGACTTTGTTTGTTTCCAGGAAGTGATGTGTGAGAGATTATTGTCTGCGTTACATGCTGCGTGACTGTAAAACATTCGGGAAGTGCTGCAACATTTGTTTGAAGCAATTTGTTGGCACACAGGGGTCTGATTATGGGGTTTGAACACGAAAACCACCTGAAGTCACGTGCTGTTTTTCACACAGAAAGAGTAACAAGACGTCACCCTAAAAAAGGAGTTACAGTATTGAATTAACCTCACTTTAGCAATGCATTCTACATTACAATCAGTGTTTTCTTAAACTCTTAACATCAATGATGCTTTAGATCATAAAACAACACATCCAAATTTCTAGGACTTTGTCCTTGATGTTTATCATTTCAACACACTGAAAAGTTGAACTGGGAACCAAGAAGTAATCTGACGTCATTAGAGATGAGGTAAAACAGGGAAATCTTTAATTAAAACAGGGATGTCACAAAATGCAGTATTGAGTCTGTCCTCATTAATACCATATGTGTTAGTTACAAGCCTCTGTTTTAAAGGAAGTACTTACAGTAGCTCAGCACACTAAGAGTCAGACCAGAGATGCTGTGAAG